CATGTGGGAGCGGTGGCGCCACTTTTCCCGCCAAAACAGCCAGACAGATAACTCATGGTGAGTAGTGATTTTACGTCTGTTTTTATTGAAGGGAGCTCAATAGAAGATACAAGTGTTCCACTAATGTTCGCAAGAGGAAGGAGACAAGCAATAAGCATGAGTCAGGATAAGGAAAAATAATAATTATTAAATTGAATTTGTGTTAATTGCTGACATAAGTTACAGCGAGAGCTGGAAGTGCATATTGTTGTGCAGCTGGGGCACAGTAAATGCGGGTCTGCAGCAGATAACCTAAACCTACAACGAAAACAGGTTTTCATGAAATGTAAACAACTGAACAATCACGTAAAAACCGTGAATAAATAGTCAAATTACAAATAAATTTCAAACCATATTGTAGAAGGATACTCCCTAAAGCCTCATAAAGGTAACTTATAGGGAAATAACTAATTAATCAAAGGATATAGTGCCGTATTGGAGACACAGGCGCTCTCCCAACCGTCCACTAGGGCGAAGAATGAGAGAGTGAAGTGTGGGAAGACAGGTGGCGCTGTTTTCCCGCCAAAACCAGAGGGACATAACTCATGGTGAGTAGTGATTTTACGTCTGCTCTTTTGAAAGGGAGCTTCAAAAAGGAGATACAAGTGTTCCACTAACGTTCGCGAAAGGAAGGAGACAAGCAATAATACATGAGTCAGGATAAGGAAAAATAAATAAAGTTTGCATTTCTACAAAACCAAGGCAATTCAGTCCACAATCCTTACGTATCTGATCTTTTCCGCATCCTTGATCAGCTTCTTAAGAAGTTTGTAATCCTTCATGTAGACAGCTCGGAATACAAGCCTGGAGTGGGCATACTTGGACACAAAGGGCACTGATTTGCTGCACACAAAGAGAAAGAATACATGTGTTTTTCAACTGACCTTGTTTCACAAATAAAGACACATTGAACATAACGAAAATGAACATTAATCTAAAACTTACTTTGTTTCAAAGAAAGGGTCTTTCCTGAACACGGGGACAGATGGATTTGGATGTAGAGTTAGCTCATCTGGCTTTTTGGCGACTTTCCTCTTAGGCTCTGAAACATAAATCATCTTTTATAAAACTCCAGCCATATTTGAAAGTGATTATTAAGTAAATGCTCCTGAACTGGTTCAACACGGTATGGACACAAAGAGGTTCGGTTAATTTCACAGGCACAAGGAGGTACTAAGTATGTGATGCATGGATGTTGTGTTACAAAGATGTACTAACACAATGAGGGAGATGTATCAGTGGGACCTTGAACAAGTAGGTAGTAAGGAGGTCTTGATGCATGGCTGGAGTGAGTGAGTGAGTGAGTGAGTGAGTGAGTGAGTGAGTGAGTGAGTGAGTGAGTGAGTGAGTGAGTGAGTGAGTGAGTGAGTGAGTGAGTGAGTGAGTGAGTGAGTGAGTGAGTGAGTGAGTGAGTGAGTGAGTGAGTGAGTGAGTGAGTGAGTGAGTGAGAGTGAGTGAGTGAGTGAGTGAGTGAGTGAGTGAGTGAGTGAGTGAGTGAGTGAGTGAGTGAGTGAGTGAGTGAGTGAGTGAGTGAGTGAGTGAGTGAGTGAGTGAGTGAGTGAGTGAGTGAGTGAGTGTGAGTGAGTGAGTGAGTGAGTGAGTGTACCAATGTGGGGAATAAACCTCAAGTATTCTTTGGTGTGATGAGCAAATGCTTTGACCACTTGGCTACCCTTCCAACCTAATGGATTTAGTAGTACAAGGAGGTATTGGTACGAGGTAGGAATGCAATAAACAAAAAGGCCATAATGGAGTCAAAAGGACCATTATATAGACCATGTTCAGGTACAAGGTGCTGCTGCTATGAGGTACTGACACATGTATGTTCTGGTACAAGAAGGTGCTGCTGCTGTGAGGTATTGACACAGATATGTCCTGGTACAAGAAGGTGCTGCTGCTAGGAGGTATTGACACAGATATGTCCTGGTACAAGAAGGTGCTGCTGCTATGAGGTATTGACACAGGGATGTTCTGGTACAAGAAGGTGCTGCTGCAAGGAGGTATTGACACAGGGATGTTCTGGTACAAGAAGGTGCTGCTGCAAGGAGGTATTGACACAGGATGTTCAGGTACAAGGTGCTGCTGCTATGAGGTATTGACACATGTATGTTCTGGTACAAGAAGGTGCTGCTGCAAGGAGGTATTGACACAGGGATGTTCTGGTACAAGAAGGTGCTGCTGCAAGGAGGTATTGACACAGGGATGTCCTGGTACAAGAAGGTGCTGCTGCAAGGAGGTATTGACACACTATGTTCTGGTACAAAAAGGTGCTGCTGCAAGGAGGTACTGACACAGGGATGTCCTGGTACAAGAAGGTGCTGCTGCAAGGAGGTATTGACACACTATGTTCTGGTACAAGAAGATGCTGCTGCAAGGAGGTATTGACACAGGGATGTTCTGATACAAGGTGCTGCTGCTATGAGGTATTGACACATGTTTGTTCTGGTACAAGAAGGTGCTGCTGCAAGGAGGTATTGACACAGGGATGTTCTGATACAAGAAGGTGCTGCTGCTATGAGGTATTGACACACAAGAATTGCGCTGCTGCAAAAGGTTGACACAGGGATGTTCTGTACAAGAAGGTGCTGCTGCTATGAGGTGCTGCTGCAGGTGCTGCTGCAAGGAGGTATTGACACAGGGATGTTCTGATACAAGAAGGTGCTGCTGCTATGAGGTATTGACACACTATGTTCTGGTACAAGAAGGTGCTGCTGCATGGAGGTATTGACACACTATGTTCTGGTACAAGAAGGTGCTGCTGCAAAAAGGTATTGACACAGGGATGTTCTGGTACAAGAAGGTGCTGCTGCAAGGAGGTATTGACACAGATATGTCCTGGTACAAGAAGGTGCTGCAGCAAGGAGATTCTGGTACAAGGTTCTGCTGCAAGGAGGTATTGACACAGGGATGTTCTGGTACAAGGTGATGCTGCAAGGAGGTATTGATACAGGGATGTTCTGGTACAAGGAGTTGCTGCAAGGAGGTATTGACTAAAAGATGTCTTGGTAAAGGAAGGTGCTGCTGAAGGAGGTCCTGACACAGGGATGTACTGGTACTTACTGGCAGAAGGACATAATGTGATAAAAGGATCAGTTGGTATAGGGTATTGGTACAGAGAGACTGATGCAAAGAGGAGCTGGTACACTGGCACATACATTTTGTGGTACTAAGAAAAACACTGTATCATGAACATCAAGCAGAAAGCGCTAGAAGAGTGTTCCCTTGGGCAATCCCACAAACTTCACTGAAATATCAAAGAAAATATTTTCACCTTTCTTTTCTTTTGGCTCTTTCTTCTTTTTCTCTCCTGGTGTTTTCTTAGACTTGGATGCCTTTTCCTTTTTTCCCTTTATCTTTTCTTTCTTCCCCTTTGAATCTTCCTTGTTCTTCTTCTCTGTCTTCCTCTTCTTTGCAGGAGGTTCAATCTGCACAACTTCTTCAACTGCAAAGAAACATCACACACATGTTACAACACAGTTGTGAGGCCTGACAAATGTTATTTAGTGTACCTGACAACTTCCTTTGCTTAATAAATAGGAAATATTGTCACTGCCATACAGAACAATCTGAAGAGATACAGTTCATCAATGCTGAACCAAATCTCAGTCTCAAAGCAAATTCTTAATATAAGAGTATAAAGCTATTATGTTTCTTCTGTTTGGACTAAGATGTTTTCTTTGCAGCAAAAGTCAGAGGATGGAATAGTCAAAGAAGCATACCATCACAATGACTATTTGTTAGTTCTATGACAACACGTACTGCATCACAGAGACAAAAATACTCGCTTGATGGCTATATTTTTAAGTTAAAGTCTTTTATAAGTCAATGACACTTTTCACAGTTGTTAAGGGATAAGAGACAAAACAAAAATGTGTCATTAATGTCAAAAAGCAAATAATACAGGGATATGATTATTGAAAGATTCCTTTTGGCACCTAAATGGTTCATGCACAAAAGCTTAATGAAATGTTATGTAATTAAGGTATTACAGTCGTTATCAACACTAAATTTGGATAGTTGTTAGTTTGATTGACTTGAACCAAATTTGGCCTGGTCACAAAGGAAGAATTATCTCCCCTTACTGTCACTGTCCACGTCATCTGCATCCATGTTTCCCTTGGTTACATCCTCCACAACCTTCAACAGCTTATCAGCCTCCAGTCGATCTTCATCACACAGCAAATACACTTTTCCTATTTTTGATACACGAACATTAAACAGGATGCACCCAGGATCGATTTCATCTGCATAGTCCAATAAATAGTCATTAGTCTCGGAAGCATATTTTGGGGACAACCAGCGGATTTTGACAGTCTTGGTTGTGTTGTAAACGTTGGTCTGAAGGCGACACAGAAACCAGCCCCCTGAAAACAAGCAAAACAATCATGTGAGTGACCTGGGCCACCTTGAACAGTATTTCAAAGCACCATATAAGAGAAGGAAAGCCCAAGTGACCAGGTGACAGTCATTTGCTATATTGGGTAAAATTTTAAGCATCAGTTTGGTGCTGACTTCCAAACTTTCAAGTTCTTTATTTTAACAAACACATTTTTGGTGCATATGCTTATATGTTTATTCAATCATCTGGTGGAGTTAGCATACACTCTAAAACTTTGTTATACTTATAATTAAGATGTTGACATAATAAACTTATCTCCCTTAAATTAAGGCATATTTTCCAAATTTGTTAACCAATGGTACTAAGGTGAAAATCCAAATTAAGTTCCTAACCCATTACCTGTAAGAGCAAAGGTTGCTAGACATCCAATGTGTCTTTAAGTGGACAACAGTGGGTTCCAGGTTATGTTTCACAATGCAGGGGACAAATCTGACAATGGGGAGAGATTAGGAAGTTGGACTCCTGATGCTACTTACCATCTTCATTCCTGACAGTAACATAGGTACCTCTAAGGTACCAAAGTGTTTTCTCATTCGGGTTCTTTGTCACCTTCTTAGTGGGTGACATCACTGATGGGCTTTTGCAGTCAAAGATGGTGCTCGACCTGCCAGAACTGGTTTTGATGTCAAGGAAACATTTTTACCAGCTGATGATATTTTTTTGGACAACTTCCTAGTTGGTGTTGATGCAGATCCATCAGATTCTGAGGACTTCTTTTTTTCAAATGTCACTTGGCGGGACGACTTTCTGGTCACTGAATCTTCACTGTCCAGCTGAATTGTGGGCCGTTTTGACAAGGGCGTTTTGTTGGAAGTTGATCTTCGTTGCAAGCCCGACCTTCCTGGAGTTGACTTATCCTCATCTTTCTTGTCAAGTTCCTTTGTGGACTGACGAGACAAAGATGGACGTCCATCAACTTTGTCAGTCCTGTCTTTCTTGTCACTGGTTTGTTTCGTGAATGATAGTCTGCTGGACAGTCGTTTAACCTAGAGAAATATTAACTGGTATCAGATGAACACATAACTTACTCCTTGAAATCAAGTGATGAATGCTGATTGCCATGATCATGTCTGAATCTTTCAACATCAAATTGTCAACTTCTAACCACACACTGTACACAGGTATGTAGTCAAAGCATTTTACACTTTTCAGATAGTTTGAAAATAGAGGATCACTGTGCATTCTATCACATCTTGGTTAAAGTCGTACTTAACTTCAGGACAATATGAAGAAATCCTTATACTAGATACTAGTATCATCATTGATTGATTTTCCCTAATGGTATCTCACGTAAATATTGTAACATTCTTCGATTAGAAACTGTCTCAATTTCTGTATCGTAGTGTGCTGAAATGTCTGCATATTGATCAGAATTGCATATTTCTCTCAATTACCAAAATGCAACAGCATGCCACTGATTTCAGCAAGAGTACATATACATATAATGGGATGAGTGAGTGAGTGAGTGAGTGAGTGAGTGAGTGAGATATGTCTGTCCAGCAAATTGGTGTGGAGACTGGGCCACCCACTCCACCAGAAGTGTGTGAGCGTGTGTGACTTTACCCAACTTTTAGCCATATTCCAGCTTTACAACAACAGAGGTCGCCAGAAACGGGCTTCACACATTGTACTCATGTAAGGAATTGAATCCGGGTCTTTGGTGTAATGAGCAAATGGTTGAACCACAAGGTTTCCCCACTGCCCTTCTACCAGCAGTACTGTATATAGCTGTAACCGAACCATAACATGATAACAGAAGAAAGAGCAGCTGATTGCCTCAAATAGGTCCAAGCCTACTACATTTACTCACAAATGAAGGAATCATGGTTGAAAAGGGTAGTGACAAAAGTCACCAGTTCCAAAGAATTTTCCACTTCAAATCCTGAACAAGAGTGTTTTAAATCTGAAATACAAAAGACAATATAAACCATTTATTTATTTATTTGTAGTCTAACAGTTATATGCAAAATATACAGTTACTGGCATACATGTTTTATAAAAATAGATTTGTAATGTACAACATAACTGTTTGGGGAACTTGGAAAAATTATCATCAGTAGCTTAACTTTATGCTTTCTACACAATTCATGAAGAGATTCTTCTAAGTTATTGACAACTTTCACAAATGAAGAAAACATGACATTTAATCTTGATACAACCACAACAACTCTGTGTACATAGTCATCACCACACTGATTGTTGCTTCAGCATCTTACTCCCCAGATGAGGCTTCATTATCTGCTGTTTTCAGCAACAGGAACAAGGACCCAAGGAGGATAATTGGTTCATTTTACTGGCCCCAGTCATTATAAGCACAGCTCATTATGTATACACACACTGAATGCAGTTTATAAAATATTACTGTAATGTAGTTAAGAAACCATGTGGAGCCTGTTTGAGTTAAATGACATCCCGCTTGCACTACAATGCTGCTGTGTGGATTTGAAATATGTCACAAACCTTTCATTTTTAAAACATGATTTTAATTTCTATCAAACAGAATATCAAGAAGCATTTAGGATTGAACAATAAAAATCCTACTTTGTACTAGTGGTGGTCCGATTAATTGAAATAATCGAAGATTGGTCACAATGACAAAACGACCAATCAATCGATCATGTTTTCTCATAATCGAACACAAACAATTTTGGAAACACTTGTATAACGATATTTTTCACAAGGTTGGTTTTGTCTGTTACATTTCATTAGCACTACAAGCTCTTCCAATTCATGATTGAATTTATTTTAAAGACTCCATGAAGTTCATGCTCCTAATATACTAGTCATCCTTTAAAGATGTGAAATTTGCAAATGCATTTTGTGCAATTTGCAAAAAAACGAAAGAACTACATGTTTTTTCTTTATTTTTTGTGCATTAACAAACATAACCAGAAAAATTTAATAAATGATGCTAACCAATTATTTTCGATGATTGATCAGTTGTAATAACCAATCATCAATTATGAGATTTAAACCAATTCCCAACACTACTTTATACAACTCTGTAGTTCATGACATACAGGAGATCAGTTTGATACGTACATTAGTGTTTCATAACAAGTGTCTCAGAGTGCTTTTTAATGATTCCAGACATGTATTCAAAGTCACCAAAATACATATTCTCACATTGATATAGTCAAGGTGTGAAAAAATTAAGGAAATTAAATGCAAATCTGAAATTAATTTCATACCCTACCTCTCGTTCATCATGTGCTAGGAAAACCATGGACTTAAATTTGCAACATGTGGAATACTTGTTTTTATGTGGGCAACAATAATATCCATCATGATCAGCCTTCTACTCGATGACAAAAGTTCTCTCATGATCAGACACTGTGACTTACCACGAAGTAACCTTGCTACCTCCAATGAAAACATTGATGATCATGACCACACAATTATTCAAACATCAATCACAGTTTCAACAGTTTGAAATTTGTAGCTATTCACTTTTGCTTAAATAATGTCAAATGATAGACATGCTTGGATAATTTTACTACATAATAACTGCAGTATCATAATTGTAAGTAGCTTTTATCAAACCTGAGGTGACATACTTTATTTGTGTACTTGGTTCTTTGTGAAATAGTCAGGCTCCTAACATGTCTTTGATGAAGAAAATTAAAATGACGAGACTTGTGCTCTTTGGAAATTGCTGAGGCTTGACAATCTGTCTTCACGGTATATGAACACAAATACCCTTGGTCTGAAGTAGAGATGCCTGTCACTGTAACCTGTACATCAATAGCGGTGTTGTCAGGTAAAAGGTACACAAAGTGCCACACCCCCTCAACTTGGCTCAAGGGCAAAACCAAGAGAAGACGCCCTATACAACCGGCTGATTAAATGCATGGTCAAGGCACCTTTCTCAACCATCTTCCCGATTCAGTCGCCAATAGTTATATGACATTTACATCTATGACACCTCAGTGCAATGACAATGCATCGACAGGTACAACAACGCTATGACTACCGTTCCGTCCGAGTTTTAACAGAATTGTGCCCAGCCGATCACGGAAGGGAACACATTTTGTGTATTAATGTCTCTCTGTCACTTACATACGTGGGCTTACATGTGCTGAGTGTAGCATTTATATCTACGTTTGTGGCTTCGCCTTACCTATTGGAGCTGTGTTTCGGTACAGTCGCAATGAGAAACTGTGAACGAGACACCGTCTCTACAGAGCTTATACCTCCATTGCTAGCGGAAGTACTGAGTGGTAGGGTATTTATATCGACTAGTGCTTGCTGATTGGCTCGAATGCAGCCGTCTTCTGGCATGCCACAACTCGTCCAGTTCATATGAGCTTTGTCAGCAGATTGGCTAGTTCAATATATTTCGCAATGTTGTCTCCCTCGCGGAAAATAAACAGCGAATCGTGAATGGTCATGTTGAGACACTGTAGTACTATGGTTCAGTTTTCAGCGGGAGAATGTCGCCCTTCTTTGCCGTTAGGAAGCGATGCTTGTATGTTCGCTTTGTTGACAGTGTACACCGCATTGCTCGCCTTATGACACGTCGAAAACTAATCCCGAGGCAGTTGGACTATACGATATCGTTTAATGCAATATTGGATATATTAAGTTGGATTAAACAGAATCAGTATGCTCCACGATGTCTTCAGTTTTCATTTCCATAATTAACGTTGCCTGGGGGAGTCTGAGTCGTAATGTTATCAGTCATAAAGCACGGTAACAGATAGCTTAGCTGAGTTATCAGACATGAGTGATGTATCTGATTCAAGTGTGTTGGGAATGCGGGATTTCCTGAGCTTATAGTGAATACCCCTTGTTCAGCAAAGGGTCAACAAATGGTTCAGTTAGGTCCGCGACGCAATATTATTTTTATTTTTATGCATTCCTCATCTAGGTTGTTTTGCATTATTATTTCATCAAAATATTTCCCTAAAGCGATATCCACGTTTGTTCAGCGAAGTAGAAAATCGTACATGAGAAGAGAGACTTAAATTATTATACAATTATAGACTGGTGATGAGGTCAATACCTGTTTTTATAAAAACAGGTATTGACAGAATTCGCCAGTCTATAATTGTTTTATTATATAATTACCGAAAAAAGCTTCTAAAATCCAAAACATGTCCATTTAGTCAAGAAATGTAATTTTATTTTCACTACAAACCAATAACGTTATGTCAACAATACATTCGTCACCACTCGCCTTTTTCCGTAACCTCCAAGACGTATTCGGCTTGTCCCGGAATAACACGAGTTGGTCACGAATGCCAGCATAGTACCTGATGTCACTGCGCCGGAGTATGCATTACTGTGACATACAATAGAATGACGTCATGGCTTGATGAGAATGACGTCATAGCTTGACGTCATAGTAACTCAGGTCAATATGACTTTAGGTCGGACCCGGCCCGATTTCTCGAAACAAACTTAAGTCTGAGTTTTGACTTAAGTTCGAGTTTTTACTCAAATAGAGAAAATGCAATTAGCAGAATGAACTGAAACTGATATTAAACTCAAACATACTAGACAATTTGAGTTTGATGGATGGATTACTTAAGTTGTTTGGGCTTTTTTATTTTAAAAATGCAGTTGAGTTAAAAATTCAGCAGTTTCAAATTGTCAAACTCAGGTCAATATGACTTTAGGTCGGACCCGATTTCTCGAAACAAACTTAAGTTTTTACTCAAATTTCAAACTCAGTTTGACAATTTGAAACGGCTGAATTTTTAACTCAACTGCAATTTTTAAACGTAAAAAGCCCAAACAACTTAAGTAATCTATCTACCAAACTCAAATTGTCTACTATATTTGAGTAAAATATTGACTTCAGTTTATTCTGGGAAATGCATTTTTCTGTTTTCTCAAATTTGAGTAAAAACTCTAACTTAAGTCAAAACTCAGACTTAAGTTTGTTTCGAGAAATTGGGGCCAGGTTTGGAGTTCTGTCGACGGTCACGTGACCGCCTCTAGACCAATCAGGTTGCCGGAAAAATATGCTTGCATAATAAATATTTATATAATCTCCATAGTGTTAATAGTAATCGTTACCTTCAGCTGACCATTACCCTCTCTGGCTGCTGACTAAATCACGAGTGAGTAAGTTTAGTTTTACGCCGCTGTTAGCAATATTCCAGCAATATCACGGCGGGGCACCCCAGAAATGGGCTTCACACAATTTACCCATGTGGGGAATCGAACCCGTGTCTTCGAAGTGACGTGCGATCGAACGCTTTAACCATTTGGCTACCCCACCGCCCCCACAAAATCATGAACAATAGCATAGTATTGTCATAGCAACTAATTCAGGACAGCCATCGTCCAAATATTTCTGAAGACCAAGAACTATGTAGCCAAGCCACGTGAGACTTCACTGTAATTATTTATATGACGCTTAATCCTTATCACTACCGCAGTGTACATTGTCTTGTCAGCCACCCTCTGTCACTTTCAGTAATTACTGTATAGGACATTTAAAAAATGGTCATCCTCGTTGGCCGTGTCTGCCATAACTACAAAAACTGGTCCAAGGAAGTGCTATTTTTTCTCTATCTGTCCACTGCGCAATTGGGAACCGATGACATGTGTCAACCAAGCCAGCGAGCCTGACAATGCGATCCCGTTATAGTCGCCTCTTACGACAAGCATGGGTTACTGAAGGTTCATTCTAACCCCGACCTTCGCGGGTGACGTATTCCCTCGTCTTCATCAACGTACACTGCGTCTTAATTATGAGCTAGGTCCCCTGTCGACACATATATTATATACCCGTTGACAGTATAAGTATTGATTCAGTGGGTATTCTATGGATATGTATCTATAATCATGCACCTATCTAAAAAAAGCGCTTTAATTAGATTTTAATTTAGCTATGAAATATATTTAAAAATAACAATAGTCGGTTGTTTATTGAATAAATCTTTCAAACTATTCAACATATGTGCTGCTTCACCCCATGTTAAAAAGCTCTGTATATATATATCAGTTCTAAAATGCTGGGCGGTATATTCTGTACTGTACTGTCTGTTTACTTACATCGGTCAGTGGCCAAAAGAAGTGTGACGTCACGTTATACCCGATTTTGTACCAAGACTTTAATTCACAATAACTTTGTAAATTGAAACGGTACTCACGTGAAATTTTCAGTATTTTGTGATATGGCCTCGAACTCTTAAGAACCTGCATGTCGAATCTTTGCTGTCGTGAAGGTTCCTAGCTGATGTAAGCAATCACATTCAAGTCCGGACTTTGAGCAGACCATGACAAAGTACGAATTGATCCATTGTCATTTTCCACCGATTGGCTCGCAAGGGAAACATATAGCACGGAATGTTGTCCTCTTTGCACGGTCTGTTTGTGAAATGTCTTGTAATGACAGGCCACAGATTTTTATCAAGAACGTCAATATACTTATTTGTGTTCATGATTCCTTCGACAAATGTGATTGTTCCAACACCATGCTATGTTAAGCAGCCCCAGAACATCGCCGATACCACATTCCGATTCCGGTCGGTGAGAACACCTAAACTTTCGGGGACTGATGCCACATTTCTCTTCCTCCAAACAAGAACTGAGCCCTTTCGATTTGTACTCGAGTCTCGTCAATGAATGTAATTTGTTTCCAATTCTTCCTCCCCGTTTAAGGTGCAGCGAAGTCGTAAGTCGACTCTCCTCTCTCTCTCTGTTTGAGGAATATGTGTATTCAAAATGTCAGAATGCGTTTTAAGACTTTCTGAATTGTTCTGGGGTTAATGCCGATAATTTCTGTATTTAATAGCCAGAATTACCTTGCTCAGACAGAGAAACAATTATTTGTTTCTGATTGGGGGTAACTTCACGGCGAGCATCGCGTAGCAGACGATAAGAAAAAAAGTAAACAAAGGGGCGTAACTGCTTCTACCGGTGTTTGACTGAATTTGCACCCTGTGAAATAATACCGTACTGAGTTTTACAGACGATTTATTGTCAAACGCAGAGATGCGACACATTTGAATTATATATTTATATCATCTACATAGTGTGAATAGTGATCATTACTTTCAGCCGACCCTTACCTTCTCTGACTGCTGAACTGAATCCCGAACCTTAGCAAATAGTAAGTACTGTTTCACTGGGTATTCTATGGATATGTGCCTATCACATGTTCCAAACGGCTCAACTTATTTTGACAAAAAAATAGAAGAAAAAAACTAACTTATCAAATATATGAAAAACAATAGTGGGTTGTTTATTGAATATATCTTTTCAAATACACAATATATGTGCTGCTTGACCCCCACGTTAAAAAGCTCAGTAAAATATCTAAAAAGCTGGGCAGTATATTCGGTATGCATATCGAGATCTATGTTCAGTCTTCTTTCATACAATCTCAACCGAATCAGATTTTCTCCGATATACAGCGCCTAGCTCTGTGTGTGATTGTATGTGATTTAACTGCTTACATATACATGTAACTAAGATATTATGGCATGAATTGACAAGACAACTGGGGGTTCGAGGGGGGAGGGATGTGTGTCAACGGAGTATTTCTTTGAATTTACAAAGCCATTTTGAAAACGAAGCATATCTTACATGTCAATCAGTGTGTAACAACAATCAATTTGTGGTGTTTAAACCGACCAACGCTTCTGAGGTGTTGTGTACAGTGCAGATCTGTGAAATGCTTAGGGCTCCAATGAACCCACGGGTGAAGGTCCGGGTTAGAATGAACCATCAGTAACCCATGCTTGTCGTAAGAGGCGACTAACGGGATCGGGTGGTCAGGCTCGCTGATGTCAACGGTTCCCAGATCGATGCTCATGTTGTTGATCACTGGATTGTCTGGTCCTGACTCGATTATTTACAGACCGTCGCCATATAGCTGGAATATTGCTGAGTGCTGCGTAAAACTAAACTCACTCACTCACTCATAGGGCTCAGATTGGAATACATGTTTTTTTTCATGAAATGCACTATACTATTGTTGATAAATATCCTTGAATGTCGTTATCTGCTCATATCTGATCAGAGTAGGTCATGCAGTAAAACCAATCATGGGCGGATCCAGGAATTTTGAAGGGGGGTGGGTGGGGTGTCAGTGAGTTCGAACCCCCTAAACCCTTCCTCGGCTCCGCCAACGCAAAGAAAAAAATCTTCAATGTGGTATTAAGTCATTTTCAAAGGGGGTCGAAAACACACACAACCCCCAAAAAGACACCCACCCACCCCCACACCCATCCCCCTTGGGATCCGCCCATGC